ATTTTATAAATTGTGAGTACAAATAAATGGTTGTTGTTGTTGTTGTTGTGGCACATGTTTACTTGCATCACCTCTCTGCTTTGCAATGCCTCAATATTGCTAGAGGAAATATCTTGTTGATCATCTGTTACAATTTAACACAAATCTCACCTGTTGACAAAGAACTTCCACTCTGACCATGCCATGGCTGTCGTCACGCTTTTGAACAACTGACAGCTGGGATGTTGCACTATCAGAAGATATTTCTATAGCAGAATGGAATGATGGCCATCCAGTGCCAGAATCAAACTTGGCTGATGAGCTGTGTCCAGGAGTAAAATAAACCTATAAAATGTTAGTATTAACTTTCTTTCCAGCTGCTGTACTGACTACATGTAAGTCAAAAGTCAAACCAAAGGTAGAAAAGAGCTCATTTTGTGTTACATGTTCTAAGTCTAAGTTGGAAATAGTTTAAAGTTCCCAAATAACTAAACCTTAAACCTGCCAACTTTTCCAAAGTCAAATCCATGTGATTTTTTGCATCCATATTGCCTGAATAATTTTCTGAAAAAATCTGACAAGTTCCAAATGTTACCGATGACTTCTGAACATTGCCAAAGATTCCCTAAGATGTTTTAATGAATTTCGAAGGTTGCCGAAAGTAAATGTAGCGCTAGTGGTGTGAAGCACCAAATCTTGAAACCATCTTTTAACTTGTTATTTAGGACTCACCGTTCACTGGTTTATTTTGGGTGCAAATTGAATTCAATTTTTCACATTTATGGCTACGGAACAAGTAGTCCAGAATTGCNTGCTTGATCAACATTTGAAACTTGGACAATAATTTCTTATTAACAAAATACCATACAACTGGAATAGTGGATAAAATAAACAGCAGTCATATAGGCATACTTCTGTAGAATTTCCGAAAGTAACAGCCCCGATTACTTTCGGATTTAGCGGTCAACAGGGGCCGCTTAAGGACTTGTAAACATAACTGTTGCATAAGGATCACTTACCTAAACAAATCACTGCCACAACAAACACACTTATAAGTTCCTTTTCCTTTGAAATCAACATATTCACCTGACCATGGCTACAAGTAATATAAAAATGTATTGTTATTACCAAATATGCAAAATATTCTAATAATAATTACATGTATATGAAATACACAGCAAGCAGTGGCAGTGTTACACTCTCAGGTAGAAAAAATGGATTGAAATAAAATTCTGGTTGGAATGCATTATGTACAATGCTTGCAGATTTGTTAGTCTAAGAGCCCAGGTGAAATTGAGCTTTTTGTTGAGAGTGATGTATATATGCAAAAGGAATGTGCCTGACATCATTCTCACAATGTTGTTGGCTCAGGCTTCTCAATGAGGCATGCCCTGTTTTAAAGCTACCCGGTGTTCTTCTTTTGTTAGTCCCAGTACGGCACAGACTTAAACAAAATGGATAGCTGACAAGAACTGACATGTTCTCAGG